CGAGGGGCTCGAGTCCATTGGGAATGGCAAGGATGCCGGTGATACAACCAAACAGCAGGACCACCGACACAAGGTCGGCAGAGAGAGTCGAGGCTCTCATGATTGCGTCTCAGATACTGGCTTGGTAGATGGAATGCGAGACGTGCTGAGATTCAATTCTGCGAGGGATCCAAGAAAGGATGGTGATATGTACGCAGACAATAGTGAACGTGATGAACAGGGTTGGCTAAACCAGTGCAGTAGATGGCTTTAGTAAAAGCCTAATACGGATAGAAAGCGAGGGGATAAATGAAAGTTATGATAAGGGGGGGGAATATGGACGAGAGATCGTAGCTGACGATGGGTACAGGACAAGAGAAAAATGAGAGGCTTGTCAGGACTCGCATAGGAGAGGAAGAAAGAGAGTGTGAGGGTGGTTGAAAGCGTTAAAACGAATGAAGGTGGGAAAGAATTTGAGGATGGGTAGAGCTTTCTAGGGAAAGAGGGAGAGAGGGAGAGATGGAAGGAAGTTATAAGTGGTAGTAGAAGTGAGGTAAGTTGCAGCAGAGGAAGGACCTCTGAAGCGGCCTGATACATGTGGTAAAGATTTACGTATGAGGTTTCTACAAATGTACCTAGATAAACTGTACATCTACATGTATACCTATAGCGAATTGCACATCGAGTTGCAATGTGTTCAGGTAAGAGGTACAACCCCTATTTTTCTCAAGCTAGAACTCAGATAAGCAAGACTCGCATTTCAGGGAAAGAGCTCTAAGCAGGAGATAGGCACGTACCTTGGGCAGGCGCGTCATCGAATAGGAGATCTGCTTCCACATGACCTCATGGTCGGTTCCGACCTCGAATCTCGCTGAGGTTTGAGACGTTTTCTAAACTTTAGGTATTCTCATTCGAGTTGGGTAGGGCAATAACCTCCCGTCAATCCACTGAGTCCACTATCAACCCTCCAAGCCTCAGTCATGCAGGTACCTATATGCAGGTATCTTAGTATATGCATTACTTCATTCGTTATACCCAACTTGAACGTTCCGTACCCAAGACTCAACACATACCTGCCTCCTTACCTGGTACCAGAGTGTCTCGATCTGCATGGGTTTGGTGTTTCCTGAAAACCCATCGTAGTTTGAGGTTAACAGCTTTCCCAATTAGATCCCCTGAAGTGCCGATGCTAGCCTCTCATTGGATCCGATACGATATATCAACCACCGATCCCGTAGCAAGCACCCTATGGGACCGCATTCTGCTTTTCTCTCTCTCTATCGAGATTGCCGGCACGGTAATATCTATCCGTATCGAAGATGAGATCTGTTTGTCAGTTTCTCTCGGTAGGATAGGCACCTATGCGCGCTCTTCTAGAGACGGTCGATGACAGCATCTGGTCGGTACACCCGGTGTGGAGTCCCTTCGGATCTGTAGCAAACTCCCTCATTGTGCCGTAATAGAGGTTCTTGAGTAGGCATCTTACAGGGGCTGCTGCTAGACAGTAATATCGTAATGCGTCAGGAAACTGAACTTTGAAGAGCATAGGATCTCGTGTTAGGCTGGCTAGCTTACTGATAAGTCAAGAAGGTAGATATTGTAAGAACGCTTACAGTCTGTTCGGTGCTGGGACTGAGACATATTAAATTATTGTTAGGTCATTTCAGATTCTACCTATCGTAGGTTTTGGAGTGACCACATCGGCCAGTGTCAATGCTTACTCAATCCCATAGTGTGCCGCGCTATTTCCTCTGTGTTATATCAGGTCCAGATGACTGTGGTATTGTACGAACCATCCCCTGAAGCACAATCTGACTTGTGGCGCGATGGGCAATGACTTCAACGTTTACGAGAACGAGAAATCACTCGTGTAATATCTGGTTGTGAAAACTGTGTTGACTGACTCAGTTGTTGTAGTATCAATTTGATAATTATAACCTACCTATCTAAGTACCTAACAGTCTACATTAAGTAGGGTTTGTGGAAGTAGATGACGAAATGGCAACATACTATCATAGGTAGCTTCCTATGCGGGTCGTGGCCATATGTGTTAAGCTGCAGGAGCTCTCGCTAGGTGGCTGATCCTAGATGTAGCTACCCGTCTACTAGGTATCAACCAGGGGTAGCACCTAGACAGGGGTTTTTCGAATAATTCGAGCCTTGACACGTTTCACTGTGAGAGTTTGTATCACCGTCTTATATCAAGCTCTAACCTAGTACGTAGCCATTAGTCCCAACTCTGGCAGTCTGGTTCCAGCTACCTGGTTGCCCGAGCTGACGTTTGAAAATGAACCTGCCTCGTTCAGCTCGTTGTGAGATTATAGCGGATGCACTGCCGTTAGTGATGCATGTAAATGGCAATTACCTAACCTAGGTATAAGTCTCCACTTAGAGAAGTAGTCGAGGTTAATAATAGGATGGTTTATCTACCATAGGTTATGTAGAGTATGTTGGAATCCTTTTCCATGAAGCCTGGCTGCATCATATCCCATGATTCAATTCCTAGTTTAATATCGATTGTCGGGTATCCTTCCCGTCGGTGATATACGAAACATTTGCGACATCAACCTCTTGAATAGACTGTAGGAATTAAGTTCGTCAGAACCTCATGTATTATTGATTGATACTATAGATAGGTATAGAGGTATCTGAAAAGCAATTTTCATTAGGTAAATGTGACATGTGATTTCTGTGCTGTAGACTCCCGCAATAGCCGTTTGCCTCGTGGACACCAATCATATTAAGAACCTGCCTACCACGAGGGCTTTTGGAATTATTGGTTGGGATGTGGCTCGCCATTGGCCACGCTGCAATACCTCAATCCATGTAATTTCGGAGGTGTCGGTTTTGTGCATCTTCTGTGACCCTTTACTCGGCTTTCTTAGCACTTTCTCGTAGATTGAGAGCGGTGCCTGTGGTCATCTGCGTGTTCTTCTGCTCGAGATCGGCTGCCCACAGTGCAGCTCCAACTACAAGGCTACCTGTCAGTTTCTTCACGTGTTACAACGGTGAGACTAGAACTGACCAGTGTTGGTGAATGCAAAGAAAATTGACAAGATAGGTATCATTTCGAGAACAGTCGCGATAGTCCCAAATCTGCGTGGCACATGTCAGATATAGATCGTAAGTTCCTGATGCCATCTTGGAACGTGATGGTTCATGCTAGGGTTTACAATAAATTTTGCGAAGCGATACATGTACCATGTGCCCAATGAAAGGAACAGTGTACAGGAAAACAGACGAGAAGATAACCTAGGGGGCAATGTCTTACGTAGTGTATGAACCAACGTGGCTTTCTAGCCAATCTCTCTGCTGAGATGACGACCATCGCTTCAGTTGGAAGTACTATCGTTGATCTAGGTTAGTTTCGCCCGTAAGCCATAAATCCTCGGAGGGGGATATACTCTGCCGTGAACCGATTTTCCTCTCGTTTGACCTAGTTGGTGTTTAACTAAAACAATTTATTCAATAATGACGGTTATTATCGACCAACCTTGAATGAGAATAAAGATAACCGTACCGACGACTAGCTTTCGTATTAGTAGATGTCTCGGTTAGGAATGGGAGAGCGAAGTGTGTCTATACCGGGAATAAAATTCAGCGGAAGATACATGACGTAGCGAATGAGGGCCTTTGGTGTGAACTTCGAAAATGGGCTCTTAAGAATCTTGCCGAGTCTCGCAATGGGGTCACTTCCCGATTTCAGCTGGCGTCCCTCGCTGACGATTTCATTTGCATTTCGTGCGACGAGAGTGCCATCGAATGTGTCGAGCAGGGCTTCCTGCAGCAAGAAGTTTCGTGATATAATGTTCACGATAGTGGAGCTCTCGTTGAGTATCAGGAGCACTGTGGTAAGGACAGCGAGGGGCCCGTTGACAAAGACGAGAATAGCTAGCTGTGGGAGATAAGTGAAGAGGAACATAAAAGCCGTCACACCGGCTGTGAGTCCTAGTGTCGGCAATACGCGTGACGCAAAGGGCTTCCATAGAGCCTTGTGAGTGGTGAAGTAGACGATACCCCTTAATAGATTTTTATTTAGTTACTAACCGTATATATAGAATATCAAGAAGGAGACGAGCCGGGGCGACACCATACTTAAAGGGATATAAATAAGCACCGCTCTTTGCTGCATCTGAGAGAAGGACTTTGGCCTTCTCAAAGTCCTCCTTCCTTCATAGTATGTTAGCTCATCCATAATAAAAGTTTGAGGTGATCTACAGCCATGTGTGGTAGAGTATGGACGTACGCGACCTCTTGGGCCTTCGCTTGGACGTTGCCTACGAAACCACTAGACATGGCGTGTTGGGTTGAATAGGTATTGGCGTTGTAGATACAGAGGCGGGGGTTGGTTATGGAGAGATCGAACGAAGATATTGTGTTTTTTCAGAATGTAGAAGATTTATTTTGATTTCTTGGGTAGTGAAGGAGGTCTTGGGTATGACCTTGTTGTAAGGCTTTTGTCAAGTACCTGACATGCATGTAAGGTCAAGAAGTGATAATGTCGTCATTGATGTGGACCAGCATGGATCAGAACTTAAAGACATGACCCACTTTCCTAATCCGTCCCTATCTCAGATGTGGCGCGTTGATCTTGCTTAGCCACGCACCTTCATCTTGTGGCTTGCTCTGCTTCTTTTACAGCTACCTCACTACGAAGTAGTACCTGTATCTAAAAAGGTAGGAAAAGGTATGCTTTTAAAGAGGATATCATTAAACCTTGTCCCATATGATGGAAGTTAATCCAATAGTCCTCAAGGTATCATTAGTAGTCTTGTTCAAGCTGCTCTCGTTCGCTCAACTAGAACACTATAACAAATTTTGGAAATGGAAACAATTCATGTTAATAACCACCCTGTATTAACCCATACATGCACTCTATTTAATATTAGTTTAGATGTTAAAGAAGCTGTCAACTTTGGAATTATAAGTAAATATTCAACACAGCCCTTGAGGCGGGTCCTCCGATATAATACTTGTTTGCGGCTCGTCTCAACCACCCACCAAGCGATCCGCAACTTGGATCCTCCGTGGCGCAATTGGCTAGCGCGTCGTAAGTTACCCGTCACATCTTTCAAAGATGAACTCTAAAAACAACATCGCATACTAATTTCTGCAATAGTGACTGTTAAGAAGCAATCAGGAGGTTGACAGTTCAAGCCTGTCCGGGGGAGTCAACTCATTCTTTTTTATTATTTTTCTCTTTCTCTCTATTTTATATATATAAAAATACTTTATTCTCCTAGTTGTTATATCTATGTTAAATTGCTCTAAAGCTGAAAATAATGCGGTTCTCCATGCTTGTGAACGTGTATCCAGGCCCACATCGGCGAATAGGGCTAAGAGCTATCTACTTCGCAAGCTACTTATGGAGCTTCACACACAAAGTTCAAAGTTACGCTCCTATGTAAAATTCTCGCCTGGAGAGATGGGCGGTTTCTATTTGTTTTTGTTAGGTTGTGATGTCTTTATGAAGACTTTAATCTTTCCCACGGTAATGTTTCCTGAGTGCTCTTAAAGGAAAGACGAAGTCTTTATACAACTAATTGAATCGATATGCTGCTTCTGAGTCGTACTAGTCGATTCGTTATCATGTTGGTGCTTATATATTACGTCTCTACATTGTTGTTGTGGACGTTAAACGCAAAAGACGATATGGGTCTTGTTTTAGATACCTATACATAGCCATATCTAAGTTAACCCTTCCTTCTACAGACAATAGGCTAGGGTTGGATACCCTCTAAAGTCTCTACGGCTCCCTCCCGAGCAAATGTCACTATGGCTACACCAATAGTCTTCGTATTAAAAACTGCCTCGCAAAAGGGAAAATAGAACTGTTGAAAAAGAAAAATATCATTAGCATGCAGACTGGACGAAAAGAATCCTCGAACATAATATCGGACTATAATTACGTACCAGCCACTTCCTCTTAATAAAACTCTCAATCGCGCCCTCTGTTAGCCCCGCGTTTTTCTCCTTCAAGGCCGGGACGATGCTAGTCTCGAAGTTCGCGAGGAAGTTTTCCCGCCACTCCCGGAGATACCTGCTGTAGTGACCCCCTAAGTTGACGAACCGATCTAGCACGAGGTCGCCGCCGGATCCCTAGTGCGCTGCTTCGATGATTCTGGTCACGGTGGGTAGATGGGCCCCCGGGAAGGTATATTGTCGGATGAAACTATCATCCGCCTTGTCAGACTTGGGTCTTCCGCTGAGAGAAAAGAGGAAGGGTTCACTCACTCGTTTCCTTCATTGTATGAATGATATCTCTGATAAAATCAAAAAAAGTCTTATCAGCTGTGTCCCTTTCCATTTGATAGTACTGTATTAGTTCCTTACAGTCTCGGGCATCGTGCTCGATTGGAAGATAGCAATCCCTCCTTTCCTCCGTAAGAGTTTATCCACGATCCGGAAGTACTCGGGCAGATAGTCCTTCCCAACGTGCTCCAGCATTTCAATCGATACGATCTTGTCAAACGGCTGGTCGTGATCTGCTGAAAACTCACGATAATCTTTGAGAACCACCGAGATGCGGCTCTCGAATCCTGCCTTGGTGATTCTAGCTTCGGCTTCTGCCTTCTGCTCTACGGACAGCGTGAGAGAGGTCACGCGACACCGTGTCATTTTGACTGCTTCGATGGCGAAGCTCCCCCATCCTGTTCCTATATCGAGGACGTGGTCGGATTGCTTGATTTTTGGCTTGGTCAATGATTTGATGTAATTGCCGGATCTGGGTACTGCGAGGGTGTCCGTTTTGCTCTCAATGGAGTCTTGTGGCAGCCAGATGGGGCAGGAGTACGTCGTATCCGGCGACAGGAAGGATTCGAATACTTCATTGGAGATATCATAATGGGCTTTGACGTTGTTGGGGGAAGTTGATATTCTGTTGGAGGCACGCGTCCACCCAACTAAAGCCGATGCTAGAGACGACAGAGGATTACTCATGTCCGAGATGTTATCGCGGTTCAATATCATTACCTCCAGCGTGTTAGCGACATCGTATCAGATTTATTGAAGCCCTATTTTACTTCCAAGAAAGCAGTCATGTCAGGACATTCAACTTCTCCTAGCATATATGACTCTGCCAGCCCCTGACAAGCTATTTAGTAATGATTCTGACCACCAGTAATCCTTTGTGACTTACGATTGAACCACCAGATAATACTCTCCACCACATACTGTCGTTTACCACCTTAAGTTGGCATGATAGCTTCCCAGGCTTGCTAAAACAGAGCGTCTCATCAGATCGTGTATCTTCAATGATAAGTTCTTCATGGCGAATACGCTTTAAAGCTTCGATAACGAAACTTCTGGCACACTTCGTAATGTAATTGGTGAGATTACCAGTGACGGCATTAGATAAATAGCCTATCTTGGACTTGGAGTCAACAGAGGTGAAGAGTCGATTTGCCATTGCAGCGACCAAACGTAGCCTTAGGTTGATCTCTCCAGGCTGCAATAAATTAAGAATCAATATAATGAGCTTTCCCATACGTTTGTAGTTCAAGGTAGGTAGTCTTTTAGTAAAGGAGCTAGGGACGGACAACGCGGCTATAAACTGTTGACGTAACTGAAAAAGCTCTATGAAACGGAGACAAGAACATGCGAGTGATATATCTTAGAGAGGCTATTCAACCACTCTATAATAGATTCTTTGATGCATTGTTATGTCAGGATCAGGCCCTAGTATTTAGTCCCTTTTTGGGTTTCTCTCCCTCTCTCCCTCTCTCTCTCTCATACACACACACACACACACACATACACACACACACACATATATAGGTATATATATATATATATATAGCACAATATAGACCATTGTTCCCAGTGCCTCGTGTGTCATAGGGGGTTATCCCCCACATGCATGGTTTTTTTTTATCTTTTTGGAACTACCGCAGGAAGACCGGCCATAATCCTACTGACTAGTAGAGTGCGATATATGCCTGACCTTGTTACCTTCGATGCTACGTTGTTGACCGACGAAATATGTGAAATGTGTAAAAGTGTCACCTCATTATACTAGTAGATTTAGGTAGGTAGATTTGTATTATCCTATACGACTAGAGCATATTCAAGTTACACAGCTACCCGAACCGCTGGTAACTTTCTGACCTGAATCTCGTACAGACAATCAGCTCGCTTACACCTTGCATGCACGTAAACTTTGATGCGTTGCATCACGAATATCGAGATCCTCAGCTTCGGGACCGACTTGCTCATGAACTAATGCAAGCGCTCTGGCTTGGTGTATCTATTGCTTCTGTACTAGCTGGATTCATATGTTTGAGGTCTGGGTTGTCGCTGGTCCCTAACCTTTTTTTTGAGAACGTCCATACTCCCGACCAGACAATAATTCCTCTTGGGGTTAAAGCATGTCAACGTCATGGCATGACACCGCAATTATCTCCTTGGATAGGTTTTGAATATTCCGATTATGCAGGAGGCTAGTACCCGAAGTGCGTATGTTCTCCGAAAGCCCCTCGCAACTTAATAGTTATGTAGCTATTTTCTCTCAAGGTGGTCAGCTGGTGACATCTCGCACCTGTCTAGTGTCTATAGTGGCGTCTGAAGGAAGCGAACATTACACCTGTAATGTTGGTGTAACCAATCTCTTCCTGCTATTGATGGTTGTATAATAAGACTCGGTAAGCTTGGGCATGATAATATGTCTAAACGATCCCCCTCGAAAGACGTCAAAAATAAGGTTAAGTTAGTCAGTTCCCCCTCCCCCCCTTTTTTTTTCCTTTTCACCCCTGAACTAGTCGTGAGCATCGCTATTCCTACAACTTGTTTTAACTTATAATTTCCCTATAGAAAGAAACTTCGCTATGATTGAATTTATAGCGATATTACAGCTGCGTAATATAACATTCTGTGTTATCACACCCCTTTTCGGGGCATACTGGAGCCTGTATCAAACGTTAGTTTGGAAAACGGCCATATTAGCTAGCATTTTTTACATTACGTCCGGGATATGAATCACAGCCGATAGATATCAAGTTCCTGAAGCTATTATGAGATAGACCTTGATGTACTGACAAAGACGGATTTCACAGGTTACCATCGACTATGGTCACATAGGTCCTTCGTCGCCTCGCCCCCGCTGAAGCTTTTTCTAGCTATCTGTGGTGTAAGCAGCGCCCAGGGGTCGATCATAGCCTGGTGTCGTGATCATCGTGCACATCACCGATTCATCGATACACGCAAAGATCCGTATAATGTCCAAAAAGGTCTTCTATGGTCACACATGGGCTGGCTAATCTTTAAGCCAGATCCAAAGTTGATTGGCTGGGTCGACATATCTGACTTGTGCAATGATAATGTGGTCCTGTGGCAGTACAGAAACCTTCCGATAATATTCATGTTCTTTGGCTACATACTCCCGGGTCTCATTGCTCACGCTGGATGGCGTGATGGACTTGGGGGGCTTTTGTATGCCGGCATCATCCGTACCTTTCTCTTCCAATAGTCTACGAATTGCGTTAATTCATTAGCACATTATCTTGGGGATCAGCCTTACGCCGATGCTCAATCGCCTAGGGACTACATTTTCACTGCACTATTGACCTTTGGAGAGGGATACCATAACTTTCATCACGAGTTTCCAAGTGATTCCTGGAATGGAATTAGGAGGTTTGACTACGATCCTACTAAGTGGCTTATTAGGCTAGTAAGTGATCTCGGTTTAATAACTTCGTATTTCCTTTTCACCATAACATCAGATTTTCGGACATTGTCCGGAGATATTTAGGGTAGAGTACCAGAAATAGTGAGTAAGTAATCAAGTTACTGATGTCTCTTGAATGCAGTGGAAATGGGCTGGCCTGGCTAGTGACCTCCAGGAATTTCCGTCTAATGAGATCAGCAAGGCGATCTTTCAACAGGAAGAAAAGCGGTTACTCACGCTAGGGAAGAATATCGTATGGGGACGTCCTTTGGATACTCTCCCTACATATACCTGGAAGGAGTTCGAAGCACTTTGCTTAGAAGGTCCGAAGTCACGGCAACTGATTTGTATAGCTGGTGTCATCCATGATATTGATGGTTTTCTTGACCACCACCCCGGGGGGCGAGCACTTCGTGCCTCATATGTCGGGAATGATGCAACAGGAAGTTTTAGTGGAGGTATTTACAGTCGTGAGTATTCGTTGTTATCTCAGAAATACGATAAAGTCTC